TGGAATAACCAAAGTTTAGGTTAGGTAAGTTCAGCTTTACTCACACTTATTTTATTTACTGAACAGAAATAATCACAACTCAAAATCACCTAACCTAAATTGTGACAGCCCTCTTCTGACAAAGACCCCTATTAAATGTGCAAAGTTAATCACCATTTTTGTCAACCTTTTCAAATAGTTAAGTTATATTGAGCTCTGAATTCCTATAGAGCTTTATAATGACTTGTGAACTTATTGTCAACTCATTGTTCAGTTTCCAAGATGGTTGCAGCATAGTTGTCCAAAACTTACAGCTATTCTCGCATAGCAAAATTGAGCAGCATTCCATTTCTCTACATAAGAACGAATGAACATTATCTGGTTTAAATAAACATTGTGATTTCAAAATAAAACAGTTTTATTTTACTGACTTTTTAAAGATAGGTTCAAATTAATTAAGTCAGCTCATCTAACACAAGTCTTAGGAGTCTGAATGTTTCAGTTACTTGTAACAAGTGACAGCTGTAACAACAACTGGTGAAAACACAATTGAAAATTCCCACACCACTTTTTGTTCGCTGTTTTTTCTAAGAGAAAACCCCTGTTTGGACCAAAAATACACAGTAACTTCAGTACAGCATTTTAGTACAACACATAATGAAAAGAACAAAATGCGATTATCTAAGTAAAAAAATGTTTATATTTTTATATCTTTCATATTGCTTAGTTTACTGATCATTTTAAAAATTCGTGTCCAGCCTTATGAGAAAACTGTTACAAATTGAAGCATGGAAGCACATGAATGGCATGAAGAAGGCATATAATTCCAAATATAAAGTAATTGTTTGAATAATTACAAAAGGCTTTGTTCGTCTAAAACCTATTCACAATTGCAACCCGAATTTTGTAGGTTCACATATCTTCAAAAGCCAAATGTGTTTCTTATTTTACCCTTCAGTTCAACTTATGTGATTCCCATGCAAATTATAAGAAACAAATTTACTCCCTATTGAGGAAGGCCACAGTAAAAACATTAGTGTAATTTACAAAAATACGCTTACATGTAAAAATAAATGTATAATTTATCTTTTACTGAACCCTTTACTTCCTTAATAGTCCAAATTTATAGGAGTAAGATATTTACTTTCACCACATACTGGTTGCAAGTTTCACAGTTTTGTATGAATTGTGTTACAAAGCTTACACCAACAGTTTGGAACGGTTACAACTTGACACTTCTGTGAATGACAAACTCTTTGTTGAGTTCGGGTCAGTCAGAACCAATATTGCGAACCGATATTAAGTTGACTGAACAAATTTAAAAGTGAGTTTCAGGCAAAACTGAAGTTAAATAGTTTTCTCAGTCGAAACAACAGTTGAAAACTGATACTGTATTGTATTGAGTAAAGAATTTTCAACGACCAATGTGTTCAATTAGCAACCTCACCAATGTGTGTTTACAATAATTACAAAGTTTGCAACTTACAATCGTTTTTAAGCCATTTTTTTTTATAAAACTAATTATATAAACACTCTAAACGATTGTTAATATTAGCGTGGGCTTCATGGATAAATCTTAAAGGATAGTTATTAAGCTAGTTAACTCACAAGGGGTACTCGTTTTATTCCTTTAGAAAAGAATAATAGAAAACTATCCAGGCCTATTTTATTTTGATCACATTTTACTAGAGTTACTAGCAATAAAACTAGCTTACAGTTGAAATTAAGCGTCTTATATCAATCAGTAAAGGGTGATATTTTAATGAAATAGATGTGAAATGCAGTACCTAACATGTTTAGATGTTTTCGTCCTATTTTGGTATTTTAGAAGACAATTTGTATTTTGCCATTGGAATCACATTAGAAGTTGGCTCTCCATCCCTTCTTTGACTAAAACGGTTTCAAAGTTGAGTTATTCAAATTAAAACTTTAACCCCGAGTTTGATACTAAGCGATGACGTTGTGGCTTAAAGTAATTATCTTTTATGTTCAAGAACATTAAAATATTGTTTTATTGGGTGATAACTCTTCAGTTACGTAAACATATTTTACATTTTGACAAGTATTTTCATATTTATTCTTGCTAACTTACCAACCTTCTTATTATCTTCAGTTTTGCAACGGTTTTTACAATGTCGCTACACATACTGTTCTTCATAAATTGACACAGTTTAGCAGATAACAAGATAAGGCATATTACATTAAGCTTAATGTCATTAGAAAATTGTTTATCGTCACTAAATATACATAAAATAGAAACTGTCACATGAATATAATCGTGGAATTAATCATAATAAGGTTGTTAACAATTTTTGTTTTGGAATTAAAACCAATAAATACTTAAACATTTAAATAGTATAAATCCTGAATATGAAGGTAGTTTAACTCAAAAAGTACACAAACAGTAAAAGTAGGGATGGAGGAATTTGTAGTGAACCAATGAGATTAAGTGTTTTTAAATAACTTGCCCTTGTTAGCTATGTCAATCACAAATGTATTTTGTGGCTTTTAATTTAGTAATACGTTCAATTACATATAACAAGACCAACCTAAAATTGTACAATTTGTCAACTAAAATAACAGTTTTTAGCGAATTTCCCTATAGGGAAGTAGCTATTACCGTAGGTCTCATGGTAAGACCTAAGCCCGGGACCGATTTACTTTTTCATTTTGATGTCCCCAGAGGCCAAAAACACCATTCGTTCAAATTTTTATATATCTATATATAGAGATATATATATATATATATATATATATATATATATATATATATATGTGTCCATCCGCACGATAACTTGAGTAATTGTTGTCCGATTTTGATAAAATTTGGTTTGAAGGTGTAAGGCGGGATAAACTTGAATGAGTTCGCGAACCAGCATGATCGGACTATGGGAACGGGGGTTTATGGGGGGTTTTATGGGGTAAAAATAGGTTTTTCCCATTTTTGACCCTAAAAACACAAAATTTTGCAATTTCTTTTCAAACCATTTTGTAGAGCTTAAAAAAACAAATAATTTAGTATATTGAAGTATTATTATGCGCCTAATTGTTACGGAGAAAATTCAAAAAAATTGTAATTTTAAAATTCCCATGTTATTCTTATGGAGAATAAGTCAACTGTTGTAGTTTGCTTGTTTATGAACATATTTTGATAAAAGTTGGAAAATACATTAATTTCTTACTAAACCACAGTAACTTTTAATATTCTACATAAAAAAAACCTTTTCACCCTCCCTGTTGCAGCAAACCTAAGTACTCATTAAACTAATTCTGTTTAAATAGGGAATAAATGTGATATTTTTAAGGAGACATTTTAGTTTAAATCCAATCAGGCAAATGGAAATTCGCTAAGTCTGCAGGTTTGCTGCGGCGGGGGTATTTGTTAAATATGTCATTATAAAAAACTCAAAAATTAAAATTATTGAAGACTATGCTACAGATAAATCCATTATTATATCAATAACATTTTCATTAGCCTTTCAAATATCATGTTTTACAATCACGTTTGTACTAGTGTTTCTATTTCAATAATTATTATGCAATTGATAACAATAAATATTTACCATAGGTATTTCAACTTTTCAAGGTCTCAAGTGTCTTTGGAATATTATTCTATGATGATTTTCTTGATGAATAAACACTCATCGTAATATTACCAGTCATGTATTAACAAGAGACACGTTTTACCAACGACGGATCAAACAATGACAGAGTTTAATTATTCGTGACGTCACGTCGTCAACAGCTGATGAGTGTTTGAACATTCAAGAGTTGTGTCAAACGTGTGTGAAACAATTGTGAGAATATATTAATACAACAATCAATCATGTGATCCGTGGATTATAGTTATTTGTGCAACTAGTGAGAAAAATGAGCAATTGCCTCACTCGAGAGAAATCCTTACTCACGAGCCGTAAGGTGAGTGAGGAATGGTTTCTCGAGTGAGGCAATTGTACTTTGAACTCGAGTTGCACATTATACTTTTCCTACAGTTACCATAAAACAAATAAATTGGTGAAGAAACATAACCTATTTTTACACAGAAGTGAACTTTTAATATAACATTTAATGTGAAGTGACAAATACAACAGTACAACAGCTGACCAGCTGATTTACAGCCAGTGCTGCCAACGTATTTCGCGCGCATACGACGTTGCCTCCATGTTACGCGCTCACTATTTCGTGCCTTCACGCTGCAAATCTGGAGTGAGACAATGTTAACATTGTCTCACTGATGAGCAAATTGGGCACTTTGCTTTCTCAAATCAGTGAGAGAACATGTACATTGTTAGGTAACTGTAGGAAAAACCTATTTTTCATCTGTTTATCATCCTCAGATCAGCTGAAGAATGTTTTGAGGTTAGTTCCTACCAGTTGATGTAGATAACGATTTTTAGCTTTATATTTTGTACCAAATAAAATTATACATTAATAAAGTAGGATTTTAAGTGTGGTTTTATGACCAAATAATGAAAAAACAATGTAAAATATGCTTTAAATTAAGAGAAATACATACAATAGCGAACCAACACGAAAACATTCTTATTTCATTGTGATAAAAAGGCTACTTAAACTATTCAGAAAATCCCTACAGATTTTTGTTCCTAAAAATAAAAACTACTAGTTTATTTAGTGAAATTATTTATGCACTTACTATGTTTCATGTATGCAATATACACTTTTTACTTTGTTACCTTTTATAAACTTAACATGGTTCGTTAATATTTGCCAATAACTAATTTGTCTATAATATACGAGTACTATCATCAAATACACATTTTTTATTAAATTTCTGAAACAGTTAGGGAATAAAAAACTATGAGTTAGTGTTTTTTTGTGTTTGATTTACTTAATATGTGTGGAGTAAATTGTGTTAAAAAATTACGTGCGTTGTATAAACGCTGAACGTGGAACCAACAAAAGAGCACAAAAAAACACACAGTTGTGTTTGTCAGGGTTTATTTCAACTGTGACAATTCAACGCAAAACAGCTGTTTTACAACAATGATATAAAAACCATCTTCATTCTCTCTTCCAAACGTTGACTTATTTTACTACGTGACATTTATGTTAGGTACATTATCCTTCAATACGGTATAGTACTACTACTGAAGTACTTTATTCAGTTACTAGGTAAGTGTCTTTAAGAAATATAGGTAGTTGAAGAATGTTAAACTTAAGACATTAAATTGATTAATATTTATAAGGATGAGTAAGATATTAATACATTTTTTACATGCAATGACAGTAGATACCTTCAAGATAGGACAAGATCTAAAATAAAATAACTGAGAAATTATGTAAAATTCCAAGCGTATGTTTGCGGAAATTTGTTTCTAATTGTTGAATGTGCCTTATGTCTTCATTTTGAGAATACTTTAATAGCTACAAATACATAATCCCGTAAACTGTTAAATCTACAATGGGTCCCCCTTCTAACTTTAAGCTAAATCTTATGCACGGTGATTGTAGCAGTGTTTTATAATACAAAGTTCGCTAAGAGTATATATATATATATTTATTTTTTTCGTTAAAAAGATTGTCTAGTGGTATAATTCATCACGGTGTTTGGTTGATTGACTGAACATAGCGAGCTGTGTTTCTGTGCGTGTCCGCTGCATTTTTGTTATGTTCTAAAAAAATTTTATCTTCCATAGGCCAACCATGAGGACCATAATCGTCGTGCTAGTAGCTATGGGTGTCACCAACACTGCAGCTCTAAGTCAATGCTCCAAATACCCAGACATTCCTAAACTTCTAGCAAAAATTGGGGATTGTTACAAAGATGGGAAACCTCCAGTAAATCTTGTGGTAAGTTCTAATGAATTTATGTATGAAACTAAAATTTTTGTTACAAAATAATATGGATACAATGTAACAGTTAAATTATAATAAATACTTTTTCCCTCTGAAAGTCAAAATTATTCCTTTTAAACAATACGATAATTTTATGTAATTATAAAAGTGATACGTATAAACATGTTTTCTATAGTTTTATACCAAATCGTTTAAAGGATTCGATTGCAGGAATACTTATTGTTTACAACTTGATAATAGGGTTTTTAAGGATTTTATTAGAATATGCCAATTTATTCATGGAAATTCTTAAAATGTGAAATTAAACTTATTTTTACTTGATTAAATACCCCAATTGATGATTAATTGTGTCTATTCATTTCCTTTTTAAGTATTTATCATGTCCGTATCGTGTGGTTTCCCGCTCGATATTTTGGTACGAAAAGTAACTAATATAGTTGTAGGCAGACTGACAGTTGTAAACTACCTACAATATTTTTTACATTGGTATCATACAACAGATTATTAAAAGAAACATCAGCATGTAGTAAGAAACTATTTTTGATTTACAATGAACCATGCAATTTAAATTAATATTTTAATTTTATCTTAATTTATTGTTTAATGATTTGGGGAAAGGTTGATAGTTAACATTCGGATTAGTTATTATTAACTATTTAATTCTTATAATATAAAACCAATTATTACAGTTTGTAGGTTTTTATAAACACTATAAAATGCAATTCCTTCATTGGTTTAACAGATGCATTATACCACGGCCACCTTTAACTCTAGGTCGCGGCCTGGTAGAATTGGCAACATCGCAAGTAGTGCTGTTTAGCGCCATATTTCCCATAAGCTAACATGACAAATGGTGGCGCTGGCCTCTCGTTTAATCGTGTGCTATTCATATTGTTAAACAGCACTGCTGACAGTGTTGCCAATTCGAAGGCCGAAGTTATCGATGGCCGTGATTATACCATAGCAGTTAAAATGCATTCAATAACACAATGCTATTTACAGGGTTACAACAAAGAGGTTACTCTAAACTACATATCTAAGGACATTCTGCCAGGAAATGTATCTTGTGTAAAAGGTAGTCAACAACCAGGAAAAGGCTTAGTGGATTTCTTTTTATCTGATGGAAGGTAACATTACCAAACATAATGAGTATGACCATTATAATACAGGGGTGTATCGTTATAGGGAGTTAAGTCACTCTTTTCGACAGGAACTCAAGTTAAATGACTGAGTAAAAGGATGGAAAATAAGCGAGAGTAGAAAATACACTTTTAGGCCTGTGCAATCAGCTCTTTTCCATTTTAATCCACCATTTCTGAGGTTAAATAATTCAAAATTAAATTGTTTGATACTGTTTAGTTTAGCCTACCTTCGTAAGGTAGCTCAGAAAATGGACCCCTCTTTTGATGATATAAAAACAGTTCTTATCATTTTATGAGATGTTGATTAAATATGTATCATATATCCAACACGTTGTATAATTAATTGAGGGTTTTACTCAAAATTAATGGATTTGTTCATACTTAAAAAATGTTGAGTTTTTTCTGGATTGTTTACGATATTCTAAAAATATGTGTGTAGAGTTGTATATATGAAATAGGCTATTTCTCCATTTTTAATGACAATGAAAGTTAATAACCTAAAATAACGTTTTATTTGATAATTCATTTAAAATACCAACTGTACATAGAAAAAATCGAGATTTATTTAAACCATATTTGATGTTCCAGTCAAGCACATGTTACCTACAAACAGCAAGTAGATGGAAACAAAATCGTAGAATTCGGTAATTATATTATGAATATTATTTAGGTTCATGTTGTTATTTGCTAATTACACCAAAAAATACTTACAGAGCACTAAATTGTGGTATGACATCCTAGATTATTATCTGAAATTATAGTTCTTAAATACAAATAGAGAAACTAGTCTAATTTAGTGTTGAAAACTCATGAATTAAACAAATCTTTAATAATGGTTTAGCGATCATACCACACGAATTATGCAGTTTGATCTTAAAGTAACACACATTATTAATTAATCTGACTATTCGTATATCTACTTTTTACATGCTTTCCTTATCTTATGACCTCCAAATCCTTAAAAAACATTTTTTCGTAAGGGTAGATAAAAAGTACAAAATTACCTTTGTTGGGAACAATTTACAAAGAGTGTACAAAAGCTGCCATCATCCTTGTAGGTTAATTAAATTGTAGGTACTCAGAGTATATGAGTAGAAATCATATGAAACTGGAAAATATTTCCATCCTCAATTCAAAGCTACGCAGGGTGTTTGGAATTAATTTAAACAAGAATTTCTTCAAACATTACTCATGTCCAAGGAAAGTTTAATGAAAATCATAGTTTCTCTACATAAATGAAAATTATTGAAATTTTTCTACAGCAATCCAATTAAATCAAATGTTCAAAAAACTGGGTAAACGCACCCATCTGTTAAAAACTGTAATCCTGCCTACAAATGTACATTTGTAGTCTAAATATTATGTGTGCTTATCAAAATAATTGACAATAGTGTTGGAGACATAATACCGCTATCCTATTGTTATTATTGAAATATGACAGTTATTTTTCAAACAGCCTGCGTATTGTTACATATCATTAACTTAATTATATTTAAAATGAATACTAATAACTGTTTTACCTTTTTAGATTCAAGCAATATACAATACGATATTTTCCCCATCCGCAATGAATTCTGTTACTCATACTACAGATGCATTGTTTCTGAAGGTAAAAAGTTCTCTTCTTTACATTAAATTCATTATACTTTTTCATGAATTTTTCAATGGTAGCTTGTAAAAGAAAGTTAAAGCCGTATATGACACATTATAATTTATAATCGATGTATAAATTAAGAATTTTCAGATAATATATTACTATGTTGAGTTCTGGTTTATTTAGTTTCTTTATCTCTATAATAATACAGCCATTTAATGCATGCCTTAATAATGAAAAAAATTATTTATTTGACTTATACATGCTTTCTCGTAAGTAGGCTATGCAGCTAAACACCAGGAAATGGTTTTACGGATCAAAATAAAATTAAAATTATAAATAATAATTTTCAAACCATGTCTCTGTAATGAGATAAAGCCATTTTAATATTTTTAGTATTTCATCTTAGAACCGCTTAATCTATATGAAATGTTGTAGATGTTTTAAAATCTATGGAAGATATTTAAGTAAAGATAATCTAAAACAAATAATTGTTTATTTTCATTTTTATAATTGAAATTACCGAAAGATGGCTAGTTCCATGAAAGAATCAGTGAATGTCTTGTTCGGGAAAGGATGAAATAATATTTATATTTATGTTTTATTTTAATAATTACTTGTTTGCAGGAGTTGAGGGCACTGGCGAACCAATGCTGGCTTTATATGTAAAATGTGATTACCAAAACGATCCAAGGGCCAAAAAGGAAATTGATACATTTTTCAGATGTGCGAAAAAGTTAAACGTACATAATCTAGTCAAAATGACGCCCTGCACCTGCAAAAGTGCGAAGAACTAACATTAACTTTTTAACTAAAGCTGTCGAATCAGTCATTCCTTTGAGTAAAATGGTTTTTGCTGTTGCATAAATACTTTATTCATACGCCTTGGTGCTAAGGTATCACTGATTCCTGATTGCTCAGAACATTTTTGATTATCTTATGTGTTTAAATAGTTATTTTGAGTAGCTATTCGATATTTTGGAAACACTGGCAGATATCAGGTAAATAATTGATACAAACTTCCATTCATTTGAAAATGTACCTGTATAGCAACATGTTCTAACATAACTAATATTTAAATTGGAACAGATTTAACGACTTTTAAAAGATAGTTTTCCGTCACTAATAATACTTTTACCTCTATTAATAATTATTTGTGCAATACATTTAGCTTTATACAAAGAAAAGATGATAAACAACTTCAATTAGTTCAGGAATTTCTTAGGTACATAATGTTAAACCATTATATTAAACAATTATATTAGGTTCGTATGCATGATGTGAATTTTTCCAATCTTTTTTGTTACATTTTTCATTACAAATGCTAATATATGAAATATTTAGTACACCGATTTATGAAAGGTAGGCAAGAGAAATTAAGTCGGCCCAAAAAACCTAAAAAAAGAAAATATCAAAACTATTTGACAATTGCCATATTACCCCATTCGTTTTCATCCTTGATAGGAAGGTTATGAAAAAATTATTTCATGAGGCTCATGAGTTTTTTATTGTTCCATCGGTTTTGCAGCCTAATGGAGCAGACTAATTTACTTTAGACAGTTGTTTACATCACAAGTAATTTTTTTTTTCATATATTTCTCATCATGGTAACTGACCTCAATTTCAAACCCTAACCCACTCTGTTCAAATCTCATTTCCCTCCGCCCCTAAGCTGTTTACGCATCCCTCTCAATCAGTCTATCCATAAACACAGGAGTCCGGATCCAGAGTTTAACTACAAACATCCTTCCAACCACACCGGTCATTTCAAAGTTGGTTTATTATCCTAGTACACTTCATTACAACTAATACAAATGTATCATCCATTAAAGCTGCATGTACATCTTGAGTTTAAGTTATGTAATTTCTCATTACGAATGAATAAATCATATTATCACCATTGATTACTCAGAATAGACTTCCCATGTTATGAAAGTTTGAAGCCAAGAAAATAGATGAAGTTCAGGACCATCTCACCAGAGTTTACTAGTGTATTAGGTTGAATATTAATTAAAACCAATGCAACATCATAGCAAACAGCTGATTGATTTATCACTGTACACACAATATTGTTATTAGTTGGTGACCATCTCAACAGATTGCACCACGATTTTCTTTTGCTTCAAATTTTTCATTTTATGGGAAGTCTATTCAGTGTATATAGTCAATGTTATCACGTAGCCTACTTACTAACACTACTTTTACCAATGGAACGTTACGTTTTAAGAATCCTAAAAAGTTTGTGCTTGATTGGATTTTATATGAGTGACAACTAAGCATGTTTGTCTTAATACTACAAACTCTAAATTGTATTAATACCCAATCAACTGTATGATTACCGGTAATGATAATAATTAATTTAATAACTCCCTTCAGACTAGGACGGGTGGCGTCGTCCTGTAATCCAGCTACTAGGAGGTGACGAATTGTGGATATTTATAGGCATGCACTGTGGATGTGATACTCTCTGGTGTGGATCAACGTCCGCACTAGTGAGTACTACGACTATCCACAGTACTATCCTGATAATTTGACCAATTCGTATATACCAAGGCAAAAATATGGTTCGGATTCCACTATAAACTGTAGGTCCAGTTGCCATTTAGCTGTATGGGCTATTAATTAACAGCAGTGTCTAAGGAAAATGTCGGACTTATTGTTGTAGTCACTAACAAGACTACAAGATCGCGCCACTCATCCTACACTCATTTCCATTCATACTTGGCTTAAAATATCTACTTTGTATGGTCGCCATTTCATCGAAAAGTATAAAGTAAAGTAAAGTATAGTGAAAATTACAACTCGTAGTGAATTGCAGCTCTAGACACGGTATTACCTTCAAATGACGTATCTCACTGCAGGTGTTGAGTCTCACATGTATCAGGCGATGTAAATTGTGCCATAAATCATAAAGTTTTAAGACTGTCATCAGTTTATGACACAAAGCCTCTTATACAACACATGCGTCTGTGGATGAATGGAACAATGTAGACTCTATTGTATTCCTTACAAAGCAGTAACATGTAACAAGTAAAACATGTTACATGTCTTGCAGCAGGAAGGCTACATCGATATGAAAAGGGGCTTGCTCAGAAGTTTTGGCAAATAAATTTGTCTGGATCGTCTCTTGAAGGGTGAAAGTGTTCCTGACCCGAGGTGACGGAGCCCGGTTCTGAGTTGAAAAAGTCCTGAGTTAAAGTCTGGATAACACCATGTAAACAAATATTTTACGGCAGGGGAACTATGGTTGGAGACCAACTTGTTACTTGTAAAATTAAGTCACTCATCATGAAATATTCATATGTACATCAAATATCTCCTTTAGGTTTACTTAAATTTTCTGAATCACAAATCAAGCTACTTCAGCATCACTAACATTGACTTAAAAAAATATAAATTACAATTTTTATTCAATATAAGATATTGTACGGTTTGTCACATTTACTTGACAATAATGTATGCTTATCAAAAAGCAATTACCACCCATGTATCACGTTTTTGTAAACATATCTTATTTTGTTAATTTATGTGGAGAAAAGTGTGTTTTCCGCATCACGTGCGTTATATAAACGCTAAACGTGGAACCAACAAATATCACAAACACTAAATTTAGTTTTGTCATGGAGTTATAACACTTTGACAGACAATTCAACGTGTGATACTGTTTTCACAACAAAGTGATAAAAACCATTTTTATCTACTCTTCAACACGCTGACTAATTTTACCTCGTGACTTTTAGTATATTGTGGTTATATATAACATTGCTTTGTTGGTGCCCTATTCAGTTACTTGGTAAGTGGTTTTAAGAAATGTACGTAGTTGTAGACTGTATAGTAAATTTAAGATAATACCTTAGTTAAATATTTTAAAGATAAGTAAGATATTATACATTCTATTTGCAAGCAATTTTACTAGCTGCCTTTAAGATAGAACAAAATGCATTTAATACATTATTTATGTTTCAAATCATGTATTTAAGTAATACTTTTCAAATTGTAGAAACAGCGTGATGTATTAATTTTACAAATACGTTATCAGCTAAAAATATTATTCGTAAAATATCAATCTCACAATAAGTAGCTCTTATAGTCCTCTAGGCTAATTCTAAGGTAAGCTATCCAACTATCCAATGCTATATTTGATAAGAAAATACACCATTGAATGTATATAACAATATTGTGCAGTTTTAGAATCCAACCATGTATTTAGTTTATTGAATGAACTTGGTGGACTATGTTTCTGTGCAAGTCAAATCAAACACATGTTTTGTATTGGTTTTCCCCATAGCGTACTTCATTTACAGTTTTTATCCTCATTCATCCTTTACCTTCCAGGCCAACCATGTGGACCATAATCGTCGTGCTTGTAGGTGTGTATGTCACCAACACTGCAGCTCTAAGCCAATGCTGCAAATACCCAGGGATTCCTAAACTCCTAGAAAAGATTGCTGATTGCTACAAGGATGGGAAACCACCAGTAAATCTTGTGGTAGGTTTTATAAATTTAAACTAAAACTGAAATTTAAATTATATACTAATATAGATAGAATAAAACAGTTAAAGAAATGTAGCAAAATGAAAGAGAAATCATTTAAGCAAGAAAAGCAAGAAGGAAAAAAATATTCCCTCTGAAGGTAAACATTATTCGCTTAAGACAATATAGTTTCATTGTTGTTTACAATTATTTGATATAATTATAGTAGTGTTACTGCGTATAAACGTTTGTTCTAGAATTAGATCATACCTAATTTTTTAAGGATTCAAATGCAGGCTTATTTGGGATGGTAATTGACTTACTTACAACTTGATGATGGACTTTTTTAATAGCTTTGTTAGAATATGCCAATTTGTTCGTTAAAGGTTTAGGGTGGATGTGGAATATAACATGACACTCTTACATGTTTAAATAATGCTTAGTAACATATTGGTCAAGCCAGTAGTATGTGGTTTTTCACTCGATATATTGGTAGGAGTAGTACCAATATATCCTCTTTGTTGGAGGCAGGCGGACTTAGTTGTAATCAACCTGTATTAAAGGATTTGGCATGCCAATAAATTATTAAAAGAAACATTAGATATTGTTATTTCACTCTGGACCATGTAATTCAAATAAATATTTTATATTTTTATTAATTTATGTTTTAAAGATTCATAGAAAGGTTGATTAGCCAGTTTTAACTATGCATTTAATCAATCATTATTAAAGTTTGAAGGTTTTATTTTATACACATTATAAATTCGATCCCTACATTAGTTACAGTTTCATTATACGTATCATAGCAGTTAAATGCATTCAATAATGTTAAACTATTTACAGGGCAACGACAAAGAGGTTACTCTAAAATATATATCCAAAGACGTTCTGCCAAAAAATGTATCTTGTGTAAAAGGTAGACAACAACCAGGAAAAGGCTTAGTGGATCTGTTTTTAACTGATGGAAGGTAATATTACCAAACAGATACGTGTATGACTATAATATAACAGGTGTGTGTGTGTGTGTGTGTGTGTGTAGTATCATGGACTAACCAACACAAGAGTATGTTTTATCTATGGTAGTATGTAGTATAGTATAGGGAGCGAGCTGGTCTGACTTCGGTCTCTGAGATTCCACGTTCAAATCCTTCCAAATCACAAATGGATTTCCAAGTGATAATACGCCTTAGGTCGCTGGACTTCAGGCTGCTGAAGTATTGTGAAAACAATAGTATAGGGTGCAAAGTTACTATTTACGACAGAATCTCAAGTTAATCAAACGAAGAGGGGCGAAGGATCGTAAATCAGCGAGTGTAGAAAATACACTTTTGGACTGTGCAATCAACTCTTTTCAATTTTACTCCACTTCATTTTGATGCTAACTAATTCAAAAATGAAATTATTTTGATTATTAAATGAAAATTATATTGATTACCTTCGTGAGGTAGCTAACAAAATTTATAAAAGGTTCTTACCATTTGACAAAAAGTAGGTGCAACATATATTATGTCTCTAAGGCAATGTACAATTGCATTTTTTACTCTAATGTTATAGAAATTTTTTTTTCTTATTATACAAACCAAACCGTATTCAGGAAATACATAAACAAGTTGGCTGAGTTTTTCCTAGATTTTGGCAATTTTATAATAAATCAGATTGTATAGTCCTATTTCTAGATAGTGTTGTGTTGATAAAATTATACCTTACAATATCTTTGTTTGTCTGATTAAAACTACATGTTTAATAGCAACTGCCACATCATCAGGTTCAACCTTTTCTACAAATTGTCAGGCACTTGAAATTAAGACACAAAACACAAGTTACTATATTTTATTTATATTCACCGTCCTGTTAAACAGTACAAAAGTGTCAATGAATGATTTAAGTGTCATTAGATGTACCTTTAATGACTTTCGTATAGTACTTTTATTAATTAAAATACATGTACAGGATATGTGTCTCCTTTTGTATAGGTGATCAAAGTTAGCGCCCTTAAAAGGCTTTTTATGCATATCAATTAGAAACTTTACATAGAACAGATATTAATTTGAACCCAATTTGATTCCAGTCAAGTGCATCTTACCTACAAACAGCAAGTAGAAGGAAACAAAATCGTGGAATGGGGTAATCCTCTCATGACTATTATTTAGGTTTATACTATTATTTGCTGGTTATAGCAAATGCAACTTACTAGGCACTAAATTCTGGTATGACTTTCTAGATATTTCCCCTGGAATTATTGTTCTTAAATATAGTTCAATAAACTAGTTTAATTTTGTGTTGAAAACTCACGAACAAAACAAACCTAAATTTTAAATAAACATAAAACTCGAATTATATGGTTTGACCTGTTAGACTTATATAGTATTAATTTATAAAAAAAACCACACCTATTTTTGTCACGATTTCCTTATCTTCTGAGCTGTATATTCTTAAGGAACAATTTTTCGACACAGACAAAATAAGAATAGGTAATTAGGACAAAAAATCCCTGATTTGGGTAATACTCACAAATACTACCCCAACTGTCTTCTTCCTTGAATATAAAAGACATTTTAAATAATCCAAGTATACAATACTTTAGTAGAAATTCTATAAATTTAAATAAAATATTTCCTTTTGCATCCTTAATTCAAACCTACGCCGAGAAAAAAAATTATCGGAATTTAATGAAATTTTGTAAAAACATTTAAACCTACATTTATTTGAATGAGATTAAAAAAGATCAGGCAATGGAAATGGGGGTTTTTCGGAGAAAATAGGGTTTTCCCATTTTGACCCTAAAAACATGAAATTTTGCAATTTCTTTCCAAACAGTTTTGTAGAGGTAAAAAAAAACATTTAGTAGTGTATATTGAAACTAACTGTTACTGACAAAATTCAACAAAGTGTAAATTTAAAATTCTCTCGTTTTTTTTATGGAGAATGAATAAACTGTTGTAGGAGTAAACTGTTTGATGAAATTTACTTAATTGGTCAACTCCATACAAAAAATCTATATTTTAATAAAATAACACACCTTATCATAAAATTTTAAATTAATATTTAAGTTGAAATCCCGCCAGGTAAATGGAAATTGACTTATAAAAAAAAGTCTGCAGGTTTGCTGCGACGGGGGTATTTAAAGTCACACTATTAGTACTATACTAAATAATTTTGTATGTGTTAATTCAAATAATTTATTACTATAATGTTTGAAACATAAAACTGCACTTGTTATTAATTCAAATATGACAACTAAAAATATGATTAATAGTAGTTAATATATAAAATATGAGCTATCAAACAGCCTGCATATTTTACATAGCAATAAATATTATATATATAATTAATACTAAATGTATAGCTGTGTCTAAGGAACATGTCGGCTAGTCACCAACAAGGCAAGAAGATCGCGCCACTCATCCTACACTCATATTATATTTGGGTTAAACACGCACATAGTGGCGTCCCATCTTATATAATTGATTGATTGATATGTAACTAATACTCAATTTTACCTTTTTAGATTCCAGCAATATACAATACTACATTTATGTTGTCCGCAATTCCAAATTCTGTTACTCCTACTACAGATGCATTGTTTCTGAAGGTAAAAAACAATATTATCTTCTTTATACCAAATTAATTGTTTCTAGACTTTTCAAACGTAGCTTATAAATGAAGTTTGTATGAAACTAGTTTTATATTTTTATTTGTGTTTTAAATTAAGAATCTTTAGAGAATATATAACTTTGGTGAGTTCTGGGTTATGTAGTTTCTTTATAATAAAACACAATTTAATACATGCCTGGATAATAAAAAAATTAGATTCATTTGAGTTATACAGAGTGTCCCTAAGTAAAAGGGCAAACTCAACGAAATATTTTTATAGGCCAAAATTAAATGAAAATCATTAATACAATTTTTCAAAACATGAATCGTTACGAGATGTCGGCCACTTAAATATTTATTACTTCAACTTTGAATTGCTTAAACTAATACTGTAACTCAATATATTTAATGGCTTTATATATATCAACTCAATAATATTAGTGGCAACTATTTATTAAATTTACCATGCGTTTTAAAATTCCAGGAAGCTATTTAAGAAAAGTGATCCTAAACAAATAATAATTTATTTTAAAACGGCTTTCATTTTTAGCGAATTTCCCTATAGGGAAGTAGCTATTACCGTAGGTCTCATGGTAAGACTTAGGCCCGAGACCGATTTACTTTTTCATTTTGATGTCCCCAGAGGCCAAAAATACCATTCGTTCAAATTTTTATATATGTATATATATATATATATATAGATATATATATATATAGATTTATATATATATGTGTCCGTGAACACGATAACTTGAGTAATTTTTATCCGATTTTGATGAAATTTGGTTTGAAGGTGTAAGGCGGGATAAACTTGAATGAGTTTGCGATCCAGCATGATCGGACCATGGGAACAGGATTTTATGGGGGGTTTTATGGGGAAAAAATTGGTTTTTCTAACTTTTGACCCTCAAAACACAAAATTTTCCAATTTTTCACTAAACCTTCTTAAAGAGCTTAAAAAAACAAACAATTCAGTATATCAAAGTGTTTTTGTACGGTTATTGGTTACGGAGAAAACTAAAAAAAATTTAAATTTAAAATTCCCATGTTATTCTTATGGAGAATATTGTAAAATGTTGTAGTTTGATTGTTTATGGATATCTTTTGATCAAACTTGGCAAATATATTCATTTTATACTAAGCAATAATTATTTTACTTAAAACACACACTTTATTAGTTTCCTTGTAGCAGCAAACCTAGGTACTCGTTAAACCTAATGTTATTTAAATAGATCAATTGAAAATCATTTCAGCCAAATGGAAATTCGCTTAGACGGCAGGTTTGCTGCGGCGGGGGTATTGTTTTTATATTACAAATTACTTAGGTCTAGTTTTATGGGAGAATCAGTACCGTTGTTTAGGAAAGGATGAAATACTGATTTACATTTATGTTTTATTTTAATAACTACTTTTCTTGCAGGAGTTGAAGGTACGGGTGAACCGATGCTGGCATTATATGTAAAATGTGGTTACCAAAACAATCCATGGGCCAAAAAGGAAATTGATACATTTTTGAGATGTGCAGAAAAGTTAAACGTACATAACATAGTCCAAATCACACCCTGTTACTGCGAAAGTGATGAGGACTCAAGTTACTCATCAAGTTAGTTATTAACTTATGTGGTTGACCTAGTTATTCCTTTGAATAAAAATGATTTTCTGTTGCATAAATACATGATTCATACCACTTGGTGCTTACTACTTATCACTGGGTAACTTATTCAAAATAAAACTGTTAATAAGCATAAGTAAATAAGTAAAAAAAATTAAAAAATAAAAAATATAACGTTTAAATATTTCCACAACACTACAATAAATATGACAGTAAAATAAATTTAAAACTGGTTGGTCTATAAATGTAAATGTAAATTGTGATTTTTTTTATTATTACTTAATCTTGTGGCTTATTCTATATGTCACTCATCAAAAATCTTCTCTGACTTACCTTCAAGAGTGTTAAATATTCAAACATTCGGCCTGGCCTTACAAATAAGATGATTAATACTTTTTCTGTAATGATTTGGGATTTTATTAGATACATAATTAATTTTAAACCATAGATTCATGTAGGGGTTGCATTCAAAATCTACATTTTACTTAAATTTTACAGTAAACAATAAATGTTGTACACAAACTAATGTACGAATTATACAGTACACCCATTTATGATACAGAGCCAAGGGAAATAGAGTCAAACAAATTTTTTTTTAATATCATAATTATCAAAACTGTTTGGCAATTGCCTTATTAAACCATTCAGTTTAATCCCTGATAAAAGTTATCCAAAAGTTATTTCACGAGGCTTCCAAGAATATTTGTCCTTTGGTTTTTAACCTACGTTAGGCAGTTAGTTCTTTATATTACAATCTATTTTTAATATATTTCTCATGATGGTTATTGACCTCAATTTCAAACCATAACTAACCAAACATACCATACCAAACAAACCGTAACATAAACTGTTCAAATCTCATTTTCCGCCGCCCCTAAGCTGTTTACAGATCCCTCTCAATCAGTCTATCCATAAACACAGTCCGGATCCAAAGTTTAACTACAAACATCCTTCCAACCACACCGGTCATTTCAAAGTTGGATTGTTTTACTGGTAGACTTCATTACAACAAGGTTAAGCTATAAAATTAATTTAAGATGACAACATTTAAAATTCAATAATAGTGTGGATTCTCTATCCGTATAAAACTTAGCATTCAGTTTGAGCTTATACTGGGTGTCCCAGAAAGGAATGCACTTTTATTTTGGGGAAAGCCAAATGTCCAAGAGAGATAAGATAAGGAGCTATGAGGGCATTGTTGCTATGCCAGTGGATAATCATTTGCTATGGATCACTTTACCGGTGAGCAGAGTGCTTTCTGTATACGCAACTATTACCAAATGCTTTCTTGTGTGACAATTCGACACTTCTGTGCTTAATACAGACTTCATGATCTCAACTAAATGCCATCAGTGAATATAATTAAATGCTAGGTTAACAGCAATTTGAAGCTACAGGATCAACTGTGAACCCTCGTCCCATAGAGGAATGGGTTCTGAACTAAATATCGAGCGTATTACAAAATTGGGCAGTATTTCTTTGACGATAACCAAGGGAACACTGTGACAGTAAATTCCCAGCGATACATAGCAATGATTGATGATAATTTACAGCCATTCTTGCAGACGTTACTTCGGGCTAACAGGCAAAGATTGTGGTTTCAACTGGATGGAGCTACGTGTCATCACAGACAAGGGAAACTTTTATTTCTTTAATCAATGGTGTCATACAACCGGAGACCCCATGACTGCAATAAGCAGCTGTTTTGTGGGAAAGTCATTTCCTCATTTGGTGACATCGACTTAACTCCTAGAAGCCCAGACCTAACTCCACTAGACTTTTTTGTGAGGGTATCTAAAAAGTTAGGTGTACAACAACGCTCCTGCTAACCTCGCTTATCTAAAGCAAAATATTCGTGAGAAAATTGAAGCCATCCCACCAGAACTCTGTTTCGTTTGGATTAGTGGCGTCACCGCAGGGTTTTCCATCTGGATTATGTTATCTTTCATATTTAATTCCCCTTAAGTTTACAAACAGGTATTTCTGAAAACATTGCTGTGAATATAGTCATTTATCTGTTTCCTTCGTTTCAAAAGTGCATTCCTTTCTGGGACACCCAGATATAAAATATGTTCTCGTTACGAATAAATAGGCTATTAAATAGGCATAGGCACGTCCCCTACGTACTCGAACTACTTTTATTAATACAAGGTTACGTATTATAAATTAAGAACAGCTTGTAAAATAGATAGATAACACCTGACTCTTTGTAAATACCACAGACTCTTTAAAAGTTATAATGTTAATATCACAAACTCTTTAAACATTTTAATTTTAAACTCTTAAACACAAATGTATTAAGACCCAAGCAACTATAAGTACAAATTAAAACCCATCGAGAATTATAGACGCAGTTATACTATTGCCTTAAATAATAATGTAACATAGTGCAAGTGTTAAGTCTCACACGGATCATGTTGATGTAGATTGTGTTGTAAATCACCTGGTTGTAAGACTGTCATCAGTTTATGACACAAAGCCTCTTATACAACACATGAGTCTGTGGATGAATAGAACAATTGTAGCCTCTATTGTATTCCTTAAAAAGCAGTTAATACATGTTTTACAGTAATAATGTATGTTTTAGAACACTTTTCGTTCCATACCATATTCCACTAAAATAAAATATCAATGCCGGTCATTGAGCTTTTATTTAACTATCCTGTTCATAGAATCAGCTGATTTTAGTCACAAATCTGAAATCTTAGTCATGCAGCATTCACCTTTTACTCAACTTCCCATTTAACATACGAACATTGCCTGGTAGCGATGTATGGACCAAATTAAACTTATCGTTAGTTAATCCGTCGGTTGGAAACAATTTTAAACTAAAGTTAATAAATTATTTTGTTACTCAGACTAAACATTGTTGAACCTTTCATGTTTATATAGGTGATATTGAATTTAGAAATTGCATTTTTAATACGTATGGATTGCTATTCTAGGAATTCTTTACGCTTTTTATTGATCTTGAGAGATATTTTTGATGGATGCAATATATATCATACCTGGGTGGATATTATGTAGAAGTAATTTTTGTTTCTATTTTTTCATCTAAATAAGTGTAAGTTGTATTCGTAGAAGACATTGTAAAAGAAGATAAATTTAAAATTGGGCTCACTTTATATTTTGATAAACCCTCTTGGGAGTGCCATTGTATTTTGAATCAAATAACTTTGTTGAAATGAAATACGCTAAAGCAAAAACAATGGTCGGCCAATGCACAAGAGAGCAATTCATTAGTAATGAAAACACCGAAGGAACAAGTGCTTCACAAATTTACCTTTACGAATTTACTCTATAGCAATGGAATAATAAAAAAATATGTTTGAAGTATTGCAACTAGTCTTTATAAACATTGTCTTAGGTTACCATTAATTTTAAAACTCCAAGATATAGCATTAGAAAAACTGCCATAAGAGTTATATTTATTGCTTAAAGATGATTCATTGCTAGACCACAAAGGAAAAATGAATAACCAGGAGTCCCTTTAAAAAAAGCCGAGTTCTTTTTCAGATTTGTATTAAAGACAATTTGAAGAAGATAAAAAAATTACTTTAGCAATGTTTGTTGTCAGGGTAACGTTTCTTACATACAAATGACTGAACGTATATTCAAACTTCTACTATAACGTCTACATTAAGTTGTACATAATTCTAACAAAACTAAAGAACGAAAAAAATAGTTATGATTTTCACAACACTTAATGCAATCCAGATTTTTAGCTATTATCGAAATCTTAATTAAATTAACTACAAAAAGATAATTTCCGGTACACATATAACAAACATAACTATTTCTAGTCTTGAAGGCAAGCTGTTGAATTGCATACTATGTATATTTAATCTTAACACATAACTATAATCAGCTTATCACAGACATGGAATAGAGTGAAATTTATCTGCATTGAAATAACTGTGATCATTAGTGTTTTTATTCCCGATTTATTTGTTCTTTTGTTCAATCATAATTGTTAAGAAATAAACTTTAAAAGGCAGTGAAAGGTAGCGATTGCACTTGAAAGTGTTTTTATGCTGTCGACATTTTCACATCTCGAGCTTGAAACAAAATCTTGAACTAAACTATCACACTCTCAACACTCATTGCAAATTATAGCTATTTAGCAGGAGAGTAAAAGTTGTATCTCTCTCAGTCATCAAAATAAAAATTAAAAACAAATAACTAGACATATTTTCGAATTGATTTCATCTGAAAATACGAGTATGTTTTATGGGCAATTCATTTGACAAAACACACTTGCATGTTCAAACACGCATCAGCTGGCAATGACGTGACGTCACACGTTTGATATGTTGACGGTGAAACGTGTCTGTTTAATCGCCCTTGAGTAGTATATGATAATAATTACTTAACTTAAAAGTCCATTATCACTGCAAACACTATGCGAAACCTACAATATTAGGGGTAACGACTTCAAGTTACTTATTTCAATCTTTAATGTGATGGAATGGGTAGGCATTATAGACAATCGACTTTTTACCAGTTAAATGTTACGTGTTGGATAGAAGTTGAATTGTATATATTTTTACCAATGATAGTGAGAATTAAATTGTAATCTTGTATCTAAAGAATCACGACGAATATAAAACGGTTGATCAATATGAACCATGAATTACCTACAAAATCAACATTAACAATATACAAACTTGTTTATGTATCTTACAACTTCATTAGGGTTGTAAGACTCAACAACCTGAGCTGCAGAAGGCGTATTGAATACTAAGAAGCTAACGAAAAGGTCACCTCGCATCAGCAGTATCCTTGCTTGGCTGAGTCGACGAATATTAAAATAAGTTAGTTTAGTTCAAGAATAAGATGAAAATCAACTTATATAGTTGCCATACATGTCATTGAAATATTATTTCATGAAGGCAACTAGATAATTTTCATGTTAACACCTCTGGCACATACATAAGAAGATTTTCATCATATTATTGAATATCAAGCTTCTCTAGGCTTCAACATTGTAATTTATAATGTTGTCAAGGGTGCAAAGTCTTATCAAATATATTTAGAATGTTGATCGCCAAAACTATATCCAGACCATTTTTGTGCACTTTTTTATCAAG